AAACAGTATCTAACTAAGACTCTACCAAACAAATGTTTTCTGTGGAAACAATTTTTTAGTCATAAGTTTGATCCTAGTGCTGACTTAGAAGAGAATGGGGACAAGTTTAATAAGATCACTCAAGATCTTATAAACTGTAGTGAGAAAATCTCAGATGATTAGAAAGTAGTTGGTATACTTAATGCTCTAGGTGATAGATATAAGGATATTAAGAATGTCTGGTAAGGATGACATGATCGTTGATATAATTCATACTTCTCTAAAGAATAGAGAGCTGAAATTAAAATCAGAACATAGAGAAGTTCTTCATATTGAGAAATCTCAACCCAATTCTAAACCTCAATCTAAAGCTCTTAGCAATTTCAGTGAGGCTAATCATAATAAAAACAAGAATTTTGCTAAGAGTAAATGGGGAAATAACAAAGAAAATGACAAGAAAACTTATAAAGCAAATGATAAGAATAGAAAATGTTATAATTGTGGAAAATTAGGTCATCTTATAAAAGACTATTTTAAAAGGGCTAATGATCAAATGAATGAGTCCAATCAAGGTAATAACTCTTCATTCATTGCTGCTTCTTATAAAGAAGCAGGAGCCAATATTGGTGTAGCTTAACACCTCTTATGAAATAACAAATAAAGATTGGGTTCTTGATTCAAGTTGTTCTTTTCATATGAGCCCCAATCTCAAATGTTTCTTTGATTTTTCTAACCTAAGTGAAGGCTTTGTAAAGTTAGGAAATAATGAATCTTGTGAAGTTAAATGCATTGGGAATATTGTTTCAAAACTTGAAAATAATCAGTTAATACTTCTGAAACATACTAAGATATGTTCCTGCCTTGAAAAGAAACCTTCTTTTCTTAGGTGTTCTAAATGATTAAAATTGTCAAATTGAAATTAGAAATAACTTTACAAATACAATCAAAGATCAGAATCTCATTATCAGTGCACCAAAATATAATGGTATCTATGTGATAATTGCTGAATGTGTTTTCCCTAATCATGCTATGAGCTTAGTGTTTTAATTTGACAAGTTAGAATTATGGCATAGGAGACTGGATCACCTTGGTGAAAAATGCCTAAAACTTCTTTCAAAAGGAGGAGTATTTGGGAAGGACAATGTTCATAAGCTGACATTTTGTGAACATTGTCTCTTTGGAAAACAAAATAGATTTGTCATTTAGGACAGGGATTCATAAATTACTAAATATACTTGATTATATACATAGTGATCTATAAGGCCTTGCACCTATATCTACAGTCTCTGGCTATAGATATTATCTTCTTATTATAGATGATTTCTCAAGAAAAACTTGGATCCTTTTATTGAAGAATAAATTTGATACATTTATGACTTTTAAAAACTAGAAGATATTAATTGAGAATCAAACTAAAAAGAAGATAAAGGCATTAACAACAGATAATGACCTTGAATTCTGTAATGTTGAATTTGACGAGTTCTTTAATAACCATGGGATACAGAGGCATGGAACTGTAGTCTATACTCCCCAACAAAATGGAATTACTGAAAGGATAAATAGAACTATCCTTGAAAGAACCAGATGTATATTAATAAGTTGTGGTTTACCAAAGGTATTTTGGGGAGAAGCTGTTAAGACTGCTTATTATCTTATAAATAGAAGTCCTTTAAGTTCCATAGATTATCAGATACTTGAGAAGATATGGACTAGAACTATGCCTAATTACTCTTACCTTAGGACTTTTGGTTGTGCAGCTTATGCACACCAAACTAGGTCTAAGCTTGATCCTAGATCTCTGAAATGTGTCTTTCTTGGTTATGGTGAAAGAGTTAAAGGCTATAGGCTATGGATAAAAGAAATTGGAGGATAGAGGTATAACAAGTAGGTCAGTTATTTTTGATGAAGAACACTTTCCTTGTCTTAGATATGATAATATGGGGGAACTGGCTGAGAAGGACTTTGTGTCTACTGAGGTTGATATTGATGTTCAGAATAATAAAAATCAGACTCAGATTGAGGTGGAGAAACCTCAAGAAGAACCACAAACTATAACTGATTAGAACTTGAGAGACAATCAAGTTCTTGATATTGCTTCTAATTTGCAAGATTACCAACTTGTTAGGGATAGAGAGAAAAGACAAATAAGGCCCCCCTCGAGGTTTTTGTATGCAGATAATATGTCTGAACAATATGAACCTGAGACTTTAAATTTTGAACCAACCTCTTATGAATATCTTGTAAAGATTCTGTTAGGTGGCTTGCTGCAATGTAAGAGAGAATTGATTCTTTATATAAGAATCAAACTTGGAATCTTGTTGAAAAACCTAGTGATTGCAAATTGGTTGACCGTAAATGGGTTTACAAAATTAAGGAAGGTGATACGAAATCTGGTGATAAAGATATAATGCAAGACTAGTAACTAATGGTTTTATACAAAGAGAAGGAATATACTATACTCACATATTTTCACCTGTTGTGAAATACGCTTCTATCATAGTTCTATTTGCTTTAGTAGCACAATTTGATTTAACAACTTGATGTGAAAACAACTTTTCTTTATGGTACTTTAGATGAGACTATATATACGACCCAACCAAAATGTTTTGAAAGTAAGAGAAAAAACTTAGTGTATCTTTTTAAAAAAATCTTTGTACGGTTTGAAACAAACTCCTAGGCAATGGTATAGGAGGTTTGACTCCTTTATTCAAAGTCTTGGTTTTAAAAAATCAGATTATGATCCATGTTTCTCCTTTAAATGTGCTGAAAATTCTGATTTTTTCTATTTGCTTCTATATGTTGATAATATGCTTCTAGATGGTCATGATAAAGTTGTTGTTAATGTTCTAAAAGAAAAACTTAAATCTGAATTTGAAATGAAGGTTTTAGGACCTGCTAGAAAGATACTAGGAATGGAAAAAAAAAAAAAGAGAGAGATAGAACAAATGGAAAATAATTTTTAACACAAGAAACTTACATTGAAAGGGTTATTAAAAGATTTTCACTTCATGAATCTAAACATGTTAGTTTACCTGTATCTGCATGTGTGAAGTTATCTACTAATCAATAACCAAAAACTAAAGATGAGTTTAATAGAATGGCTAATGTGCCTTATGCTAATCCAGTAGGTTCTGTTATGTATGTTATGACATGCTCTAGACCTGATATTGTTTTTGCTGTAAGTGTTCTGCACAGATTTATGAGTAATTTAGGTGAGCTTCATTTGGGAAGCTATGAAACATTTAATCAGATGTCTAAAGGGTACTCAGAAATTAAGACTTATGTCTAAAACTAATAAAAATTGTCTTAACTTCAAAGGATGTGTTGATTCTGATTTTGTTGAAAATTCTGATAACAGAAAATTTACTTCTGCATATTTTTATGTGATAAATAATACGTGTATTAGTTGAAAATATTAGCTTCAAAAATTAGTTGCTCTATCTTCTACCAAAGTTGAACATATTGTTGCCACAGAGGTTGTAAAAGAAGATGTTTGGTTGAAACGATTATTAAATGAATTAGGATTTGTAGAAAATAAGGTAGAGCTTTGTTCAGATAATCAAAGTGCTATTTTCTTGGGTAAAAATCATATGTTTCATGATAGAACTAAACACATAGATATTAACTTTCATTTTATTTGGGATATCGCTGAAAAAAGTGATATAAAACTTGTTAAAATACCTACTAAAGTTAATCCAGCTGATGCAGGCACAAATGTAATAAATTGAATAAATTTAAGGATTCTTTAAAATTACTAAATCTTGAAACTAATTAGTTTTTTTTTTTTTTTGTAACGGGTAAATAAGAGCAAGTGATCTGAGATAGAGCTCAAATCCATTATATAAAGTCTCAAAAATGCAGCAAAGGTGGAGATTGTGAAGATGGGTTGCTACATCTTTTATGGCCCAAATGACTTATGGTCCAGTAAAATAAGATAAGCCCATTTACCTGATCCAACTATATGTTTTGATCCAATAAATGCATGATTCTAGAAATTGGATGAAAACGTGTTTTTGATATATATAAACACACCTTCACTGAATGCTTGACACTTGGAATATTTCATATTTTTTGGATGCATGATATAAAAGGAAGCACATGTGCTTCCTAGTTAAATTCTCTCTGTAATTTTTGGTTATCAATTGAATAATTGTTGAGCAATCTCTTTGTAAGATTTTTGTTTAGAGAGATTTGTAGAGCAATACATATTCTTTGTGAATGATTGCTGATAGGAGAGGTGTATTCGAGATAAAAAGTTTCATTTGAATCCCTTATTGCAAATTTTGTACTGAACTTGTTCTTGCCCAATTTTGGAGCTTTATAATGGATTCGAACAATATCCTTAGGGATGCTCAATGGGGGATTAGACGTTAGAAGCAGTCGCTGAAGCTCCGGATGAAAAATCTTGTGTTTCTTATTGTTTTTAAACGTTTTGTACGGCTTTTCACAAAACAAACTCAAACAATCTTTCGATTTGTTTATTTGGGACCAACACTAGTCAAATTTGTCCATATATATCAAAAGTGTAATGTCTTAGCTTTCTAAAAGTTATTTCTAGAACTAAGAAATTACTTTTGAAATGTTTGGATAATTTTTTGAAATTGTTTTGTCTTACTGAAAGAACTTCTAGTGGAATCTACAAGAAGCGAAGGCGAAAGCCCAGCCAAATGCTCCTTGATTTTTTGCCTCTTTGAAGTGTGTGGTGAAAATCATCAAACATTTTCACAAGCTGAGCATCCCCCTCTTTAAATACANCCATTGATCCTATGATATATCGAATGTTTATGGAGTCAAAGATCTTTAATTTTTCAAGTAAAATACCGAAATTTTCTAGTTTTTCTTTAAAAATCGGAGTAAAATAAATTCCTCAAGAGTACTCTTTTGTTGATGAGATAAATACAATGCATAAGTTGAAAATGTTTACACTGACAAAGTTCAAATCACCAAGATGATGACACAACCTTCAAAGATGGTGGCTTCGCCCTTCGTTTCTAAGGTAACATTGACTTCAATATTGAGATTTATCCAAGCCATCGAAGTAGGGATGATCCGTCTAAACTGGAACTTGACAGCAAAAAATTGTTACTTACATAGGCTTATTACAGCACGAGAAGTCACCATAAACTTAGGTATGTAAACACGAGGTTGAGAATAAAAACTCACCAATAGAAGGTCAACTCCATCAGGTCCCAGAGATGGAAGAACGAGCCAAGTTCTGAGGTTCCCATTGTGGGATACACATGCCAATCCCTCAGTGTGTGGTGAAAATCATCAAACATTTTCACAAACTGAGCATCCCTGCTCTTTAAATACAGAATTAAGCTAAATAAACATAATGCTTGACATAGGGGATGACCGATCACTCACATTGTACGTGGGTCCCGACCTGAATTAAATAATGACGACCTTCCCATGTGTATGTTGTGTCATCCCCTATGTCAAACATTAAGTTTGTGTAGTAAAACTCTTAAATACAAGATCCAAATTCACTAAATAATAATTTCATATTGACAAAAAAAAAACAGATAGCTTACATCTATCTACAAAGTAGAAGCTTCATCTATCTATAATATGAAATATCAAATTCAAGACAATAAGAAGAAAATAAGCCTGGTTCCCAATAAATTTGGATGAATCCTTCTTCACACATAACATACCTTCTCTTCTCTTCATTGATAGATTGTGTATAGATTATACTTTGGTCTTATAGTGACATTGCTGTTTAGTAACATTCCTACTGGAAATACTTACTTCCAAATCACAAGTGGTGTAGGAGACAACATGAATATTGAACAATATGCGCACTTTTCCAGCAATTCTCGTGTAAGTCTGGAGAGGCAACGTACCAGAGATCACGTCGGAGTACAAATTGGAGTTGGCCAGCACCCGATCCGCCATAAGTGTCAGCGTCAAGTTCATGATCATCGAGTCACGGGCGCCAATTTTTCCGGCCGGAATTGGGACTTCACCCACCACGTCGCCTCTGTATTTCAACAAAGCAGTGCTGTTTTTGTACTTTAATCCCACTCTATTAGGGTTCTTCACGGCGACGCTGGTGTCGACGGTGACGTTCAAGTGAACCCTGAGCCTGGCTATGTCAAATGAGAAATCTAGATCCGAAATAGCGACGGAATTGACGGTGGTGACGGGCCGCTTGGCCTTGAAAACTGTTAGCCCTAGAATCGTGAAAATTAGGGCTAAAGCTAAAATCTCTGATATCACCACCAGACATATGATTCTTCTTCTTCGTATGTAGTCCGGTTTGCGAACGTTCTGAGCCATCATCGTCTTGTTCTCCTCTTGCTTCGATGATTCCACCTCCATTAACACTCTTCTTCCTTTCTGCTGCTGCTATACAAATCGCGTGGAATTATATAGTAGCTTAAATTCAACTCAATAAACAACAAAATTGGTGCAGCAGTGTTAAAAAATTTCAGGATCTCTCCCTATAAACACTAGACAGTCTCTAAACAAAATTCTAGAAGCTATCAACAACCTATGCTAAAGAATCGAACAAACTAACAGCAACTCTTGCGCCTAAAGTGAATAGGGATCCTAGGGGCCAGGTAGGTGATTAACATACAGATCCCATTAAATTATACTGCTATATTTTTCCCACAAACTATGAGTAGTGATGAACAGGATTTCAAAAATTAGGTGGTAGTTCGATAGAGATGTATACCGATGTGATGAGAGTAAATGAACAGAGACTTTTGGGTGGCGTGGCATGTCTCCTCTTAAAGAAGTTAGATGAGCATGAGGTGGTTGTACATTTTTATTGCAATTAATTACTTGTGCTTTCAAGATAGAAAAATTTAAGTTAAGGTTTTCAAGTTAGGCTAAATGTAAAATGTAGGTTTCAATCTTTACTTTATCACACTCGAATATTTAACTTTTATTTGATCTCGTTGTCTATTGGTTTTCATGATTTCATCTACTCGACTAGTTAAAAAATTACACAATAATTGTTGGTGTCCAATCGTAAGAGGTCTCCTTGGACAAAGTGTAGACTCACTCCAATTTAATTTAAAAAGCTTAATTACTACAAATATGTGCATATCATGTGAGGTTAAACCCAATGACTTACTCCATCAGAACAGCCAAAGTTGTCATTTGAAAACATTATCATGAGTAAATTGGAGGAATGTTTCCCAATGCATCAACACCACCCATTTCAACCAATCAAAGACGAAAAAGTGTAACCCTTGATGTCAATAATAAATTAGGAGAAAGTAATGATTGTCTAGATTGCAGACAATGATGACCTAGATCACAAACTATGATCTAGGTGCAATGATGGTTTAACCTTGTCAAACTCCTCAACCAATAAGATTCATTCGAATGGGACGGTGACACGTATCTCGAAGACATATACCGTAACTTAACAAGACAAAGAACGCCAAGCTCGTTTCGTGGCCTATACAATGAAGCAAATGCCCAACTTGATGAAGATTACATAAATTTTACAATTATTTCATCAAGAACACTTTTTTTTTAATTTCATCAAAAGTTCCTTTTAAGTTTATGGTGAAATTGTCACATCAACTTTAGTGTATCAACAATAGGTCCTGTTTGTATAACTTTTTGAGCAGTTAATGAAACAATAAATAAAAACTCGAGCTACTCAACATGTGTTCAACTCCAACTCTTTATATTCACTCTATGCCTCTATATATATATTTTTTTCCATATATTATCCCCTTCCATCTTGTTTCTTGACCCATTTTCACTACTTTGGGGTAGCAATTTAGGAGTAGAGATAGAAGGAGGAAAGAATGTTGCTATAAATTAAAGATGGAGAAAGACATGGACCTATTTACCACATTAGACATAAGTTGAAGAGCCCAACTATAATTTTCTAGTTTGAACAATTATTTTTTAATTTACAGGATCTGTATGAGATATGCATTATATTTTGGTTAATAGAGTCGGCACGTACATTTATTGATGTTGATGGACTTGGCGCGTTGAGTGTCCATACGACGTTGACTTTGACCCATGTAAGCAACCAGCTTATGTGTTTCAAATTAATAGGAAGTTTGGAGTCTTGCACTTCTACCCAATTAATTTTAGTGGACCAGCAAACGAGGCCATGTTACAAGTATAGAAAATTTTGACGGAAAACACATGACGTGGAATTATTGGAAAATGAAAAAATAAACCAAAAAGAAAACTTGCGAATCAGATACTACGACATCAGCATATGTTTGAATTCGATAACAATTTTTCTGTACTTGAGACTTTTTCCTTACGAAAATCATATTATACTAAGATTAGATTGGGTACATCGAGAAGCTTTCTATTGATGTATGACTTCAAACCTAATTTAATTTTGAGTTTTGTATTGAACTTGAAGCTAGTTCTGAGAGAATTATTATTCCTTTACAGGATCTTAGTTTACGTGAGTACAATTTATCTATTATTCAAATTTTATCTAAAGTTAGTATCTATTTGATCACCTTTTTTTAAAACTTATTTTCCCTCAAATTCATTTCGAATCACGCATTTTTGGAAACTGCAATTTTAATCAATTTTTCAATCATATATTTCACCAACTATTAGTCTATTATCGAAATCTAATTTTATCCAAATCAAATACGAATTATGCCACTTTGACAGAAAGCAGTTAACAAATGGAGTGACATAATATTAAGAGCCCGTTTGGTATCGATTAAAATCCAATTAAAATTGAAAACATAGCAGTTATTGGGCCCGCTTGTCTAATAAAAGTCAACTATAACGACTAGTTTTTCAATTTTAATCAGATTTTAATCTCTACTAAACGGACTCTAATTAACAATATATGATTGAATGAAAATGTTAATTGTGTTCAAAATAGCCCAATGATGACATGCTATATGCCATTACTTCAACCATTGTGTCAAGAATTATGTTAATATAGCATGATTCATCAAATAAAGGCTTAATAGAAGAGAGAGACGCTATTAAGGACTTCTAATAGGATAGAAATTTTAATTTTAACATAGTCAATTTTGATGACATGAAAAAAAAATTTCCACACGATCCGTATTAGCATTACAGATGCTCTAAATGACTTGTAAGGCGGGAATCAACGCACCCCTAAGATTTATTGATTCTNACACTATTAAGGACTTCTAATAGGATAGAAATTTTAATTTTAACATAGTCAATTTTGATGACATGAAAAAAAAATTTCCACACGATCCGTTTTAGCATTACAGATGCTCTAAATGAATTGTAAGGCGGGAATCAACGCACCCCTAAGATTTATTGATTCTATGATATATCAAATGTTTAGGGAGTCAAATATCTTTAATTTTTCAAGTAGAATACCGATATTTCTAGTTTTTCATTAAAAATCTAGGAATAAAATAAATTCTTCAAGAGTACTGCATTGCTGATTAGATAAATACAATGTATATGTTGAAAATGTTTACACGACAAAGTTCAAATCACCAAGATGATGACACATCCTTCAACGATGGTGGCTTCATCCTCGTTTCTAAGGTAATATAATTTATTAGAATTCCACATTGGCAAGTGATATTAACATGATCCACATCATAAGGTGAGGACAATACTCCCCTAACAAGTCGATTTTGTTAGGTGGAGTTAGATCCAATATCCTTTCTAATATGGTATCAGAGCAGACCCAGTTTCGTAATGTTTGATGCACCCAATATCAATTTGTTTACAGTTGTTTGACATGATCCACGTTGTGCGTGAGGGGAAGTATTAGAATTCCACATTAGCTTGTGATATTAACATGATCCACTTAATAAGGTGGGGGCAATCCTCCCCTAACAAGTCGATTTTGTTAAGTTGAGTTAGACCCAATATCATTTCTAATAAGATTTATCAAGCCATCGAAGTAGGGATGATCCATAGTAGCTTTAGCAGAAATTCTTTCAACCGGATCATAGTTAAGCATTTTCTGCATCATTCAAAGATAACATTAGTTACACAATTATCAGCAAGCAAATGTGCTGTAATAATCACGATTCATCTACTGATAATTCAATTCCTTCTAGACACAAAAAAAATAGTCGTGTTTTTTATTATGAAAGTAGCACTATAATATAACTATTATCAGTCTAAACTGGAATTTGACTAGGAATGGCAAAAAAATCCGACAAACCCGATACCCGCGGGGACCCGCCCCGAACGGGGAGTGGAAAACCCGCTTAAACGGGTAACGGGGAGGGATGGGGCGGGGAATTATTCCCCGAGGTGGGGACGGGTAACGGGGTCCCCACCCCGTTAAAAAAAAAAAAATTTTTTTTTTTTTTTTTAAGAATTCAATACTTTAAATGAACATTTTCGTTAGTTCTAATAGAAAATAGCAACTGAAATTATTTGTTTAAATATAATGAATATGGACAATAAAAATAAATTATCAAAAATTTAAAAAAAAAAATTTTAACGGGGAATAA